GAGTCTTAGTGTACAAAACCTTACCATCCCTCATTTCAGTATCAAAGGGGAAACTAATATAAAATGTATATGGCCCTCGGCACAAAGGATGGCACTGCAACTCAGTAGGGGAAGAAATGTGCTAAAAGCTTGGAACATCTGTGTAAACACATGGCTTTTTTCCAACCATGTAGGCACTGTTCTCGTACCCTTAAGATAGATGTCCAAGGCAATATAGCTTGCCCTGTGGCGATACAGGAATGGCTTTGAACATCTGAAAAACACCAAGCTTCAAGCAGCATCCGCTTTAATATTCCAGCTTGATTCTTAAAAATAGATGGATTTAAACAATGGCTTTTATTTGACTCATGAGGAGTTGAACCACCTCCTCACCTGCTGGTGGTTTGATTAATATTTAGATTTACAAGTTTCCTATGCAGTCTTGAAAAGTGTGGAATTTGATTATCTCCCATGTCTGGGATTTATGAGTATATAAAATGTCATAAAATCTATACTTTATCACCCATCTCGTTGTTTAAATGTGTTATTTATCTCTTTTATCCCTTCTTTCATTGTGTCCTTCATTGCCTTCTTCTTTCTTAGTGTCATTCCTTGTGTCTTTCTTTACTAATGTCCACTTTTTGTCATCTTTCCTTTCTTTACTCCAATCCTTGTTTTCCTTTGTTTTCATTCCTTCTTACCTTGTATTCTTACTTTTTTGCCATTACCTTGTTTCTATCCTTCCTTTCATCTTATTTTTCTTCCTTGTGTCCTATTTTGCTTCTTGGTTTTCATCCTTTCTTCTTTTCTTGTTTCTCATGATTGCCTTTCTCCTTACTCTCCCTTGTCCTTTTTCACCTCTCTGTGTCCTCTGCTTTTCTTATGTTACTTCTCTTACTTCCTTCATTTATTCATCCCTTCCTTTCTTGTCCTTATCCTTTCCTTTTCCCCTTCATTGTGTCCTACCTCATTTTCATCCCTTTTGTGGTTTTCCTTTTCATCATCATTTCCACCCTTACTCTATTCCTTTACTCCATCTCTTTCTTTCTTTCTCTCTTTCTTTCTTTCTTTCTTTCTTTCTTTCTTTCTTTCTTTCTTGTGATCTTCTTCTTTGCTACCTTTTATTCAGTCCTTTGTTTCCTTCCTTCCTGACTTCCTGCCCCTGGTTTATCCAGGTTCCACATTTAAGGTCAACCCATGGTAAAAATAAAATATATTCCATATATTCATAGTGTATTTTGGTACTTTGAATTTTAAAAAATAACCTTAAAAGACTGAGAACTGTGGGGGGAAAAAAAATCTATCTTCAAAAGTCTGGAATATGAATTTTTTTGATCAAAAACCTGTGGGAGCCCTAAATTTACTGGGATAGGAAAAGGCAGATTCAAACACAACAACAAAGACAGAACCTTCTGCCTTTGTTGTTGTTTAATTCTGTTAATAGCCCAAGGTAAAGATTTATCTGCTCTTGTCAATTTACCTCAGCCTCAATATAAAGCACCAAGGTCACTTTTCGTCGCCTGGCCCACAGGATTAAATTGTCATGTCTCTCTAATAGGCAGCACAGGGAATCATTAGTCCAGCTCAGCTGCCTGACTGATGGGCATTTCAGTCCAATCATGAGAGTGTGCAGCCACAGGGCAGCCAATATTGACACTGTGTCAGGACTGTGAGGGGACGCCTTAATCAGCCAGGACACTCTCGGCATTGATTTGACAAGCTGCCGTAATGACCCCCTTGTTTTGGTAAAGAATCACTGTTTATCCGGGCTGGCATTGATGCACTTGGAAAGCTGCATTGTCATGGAAACTATTATCACCCGTATAAGCTGGGCAAAAGAGTGGTCTTCAGAGGCAACTGTGGATTTTTGTGTTTGTTTAACTTATTCTCATTTTCTCACATTAAAGCCGTCAGCTTTGATGTGTTTCATTGGGATTTTACATGATAGGCCAGTGCAAAATAGCACAGATTTGTGAAGTGGAAGGAAAATGACCTTAGTCTCTAAAATGTGCTTTTCTTTTAAAAATGTGACATGCACAAATACACAACCCCTTTACTTTGATACCCCAAAATGAAATCAAGTGTAATTAAATGACTCACCTGTGTCTAAAACACAGCTTTTCTGTGAGGAATGTTTGAGAACATTACTGGACAAACAGTGTCTTTAAGACCAAAGACCAGATTGTGTAGAATTTAAAGACAATAAATTCTACACAATCCTTGAACAAAAATGTGTTTTTAGCTTACAGGCTGAGTAAGGAGAACATTGAGGTGGAAAAATCTGTCAGCAGAATATCTATTGTTTGTGAGTTTGTGAACGATTGGCAAGAAGAAAGCAATATGACCTTTTGGTAAAAGTTTGCCACAAACCATGTAGAGAAAACAGAACACTAAAATAAATCGCTCTGGTCAGATAAGACCAGAAATTGAAATTTAAGGCCTCCATGCAAAATATATTCAATTTTCAAGTGTGGCAGCCATAGTTACTATGGAACGGTTTAGATCAAAGCATATTTATGTGCTAGAATAGCCTAGTCAAAGTCCATCTATTTGGAAATCTGTGATAGAGCTTGATAATTAAAGTTCACAAATGCTCTCTATATAATCTTACCGAGCTTGAGCCTTTCTGCGAAGAGAAATAGGTCCAGAATGCAAGTCTCTGTATGTGCCAGGCTGGTAGACATAAGGTTTTATGAAAGTCTTGACTCGCTGGGGTTTCACTGCTCTGTTTATGTCTGCTGCATAAAATCCAGATGTAATATATTCAATTTTGGAGTTTTATGATAAATGTGAAAATGTTTATAGCCCTTGAACTTTTACAAGACATTGCATTTATAACATTTCCTGGTGTAAAATTCCTCCCCCTTAGAGCAGGTATGGTTGATAGCTGATCTTAGAGGATGGCTGGATGTGTTTGTTTACTAAAATGAGGTGACACAGCCGCTGGCAGGAGGATCTGGAAAATCAGCCGCCTCTCTGGGAGGTGTTAGACTGTAAATGTTATTGGCATGCTGACAGTCTCCCACAATGCCACAGTGTGTAAAATCGTTAACAAGCAACATAATGGGCGCTCTCTTTCCCCAAGGTGAGGACGTGGGGTGTTTTTATCAGCCTTTTATCCTTAGAGTTCAGAGAGACATTGTTTGATCTGCTTAGATATCAGAAACAAACCTCCTGTTCTTTTTGTACTGTCCATCTGCTTCGGTGATGTGCATTTACTTATAAACGAGAAAAATCTGTAAAAGGCGTAACAACTCATTCGATAAAACACCATACATCTGCTTTTAATTTGTGAAAATACAAAATGAAATCATGTACAATTTATGTACAATCAAGTTTATACAAGACAATAATGTTATTTCTGCGTATAGTGACGTAGATATCAAATCAGGACTATCGTTTGACGAGTGGATGTGCTAAAAAGTGCATAAAATGAATACAAGCAATGCTGAATACGTCTCAACACCACAGGTACCGTCAAACAGGAACACGCTACAAAGGAATACTTTACATTAAGTTTTACAGATTTACATGAAATACATTGTTCTGCGATGGTGGTGGAAGCTGTTTTTAAGACGTCCGAGAGTTGAATTACCGACAAAACTAGAAGCCTCTTTTCGCAGCAGTGGGTCTTTGTGGAGTCCTCCGTTGGCTTCAGCACTGCCTGGCACATTACTGGCACTGAGGGTCGGACAGCTCGGTGCCAATAAAAATGTCAGAAAACTTGTGTTTTGTCCTTCAACATCCAACACAAATCCTAAGCTAGGCCACGAAGAATCACCTGTGGATTCAGAATGTCATGGACTAATGTTATTACTTCTTGTCTTCATGGATGCTAAAGTAAAGTGACAACAGTGCCAGTATAGCTGTGTTCAATTATTTAAATAAGACATGATTTCTGAAAGCAAAACAACCATATTTGCTGATATTGTTGATCATTATTGATTTATCGGAATTCTTGTTTCTGGACACAAACCCGTTTTTATGATAGAGCTGTTTGACGAGCGTCCATACAACGAAGCGATCATGGCATTAAGATTGGTCATGGAGTACATTCAAGTTTCCTCATTGCCTCCAAGACAATCCTGTGTCAGGCAGTGCTTACAACCAAAGGAGGACTTAAAGATGCCCACTTCATGCGATATGTGGCTTTAAAAAAAAAAAAAAATCAACTCATCTGCATACTTGGAATATTGTGCCATGCTCTGTTAAAACTGTCAACGGTATTGTGTGTTAATGAATAGATCTCAGGAAAAAAAAAAACAAAAAAAAAAAACAGCTCTATCATAAAAAGTTACCTTTTGTTTAATTTGTGGTGATATTTTGGGAGTTTTGCTTTGCATAAAAAAGCATTTAAAACATTTACAGACTTGAAAAGGCAAGGATAAGACAAGTACATGTGTATAGAGATAAGGCTAGAGCCATATGCCATTTCAATATGGACACTGGCCGATGTTAACCATCACAAATGTTGTGAATTAGCTCCAAATGGCAAAGAAACCACTGAGAGTCATGCTGCGCACCACTTGCACTTGGAATCCTTGGATGCTGAGTTAAAAAAAAAATAAATGTGAGAAGTCCTGAACTTGGAATATCCAGGAGAAAAGTTGCAGGTTTCTTATTAACGCCAACCACCACAAACATGGCTGCCACGCTTGCTAAACGTTGGGAAAGCTTTAGTGGAAAACATTTATTTTTCAGTTTTGACTCTTGGTCAATCGCACCCAGAACGGTAAAATCCTACAGAATGTATTGCAGTGTTTAATGCATAAAATAGAGAGCAAGTTCATTGTTGTTTCCTACTTCTAACAGTAGGTATCATGTTCATGAAGCTCATATCTGCTGGAATCAACCATAAACATACCCAACTGTTCCCATCTTCTCTCTTCTTACTTACTTTATGAATAATGTAGGTGGAGTGCATACCGAAGTAATAAAACATTACAAGTATATTTCTCTCTGTTGGTAAGTACTTTTGATATATGTTGGAGATAATTAACAATATAAATGTTCAAATCTTGCTTTTAATTTAACTGCATATTTTCAGAGGACTTTGTATTTACACCATATATTTTTGATTATAATTATGATAATACCCTTTTGTGCCTGTTGGCTCTTACAGAATAACAGTTTGATGATCATACAAAATTACTTTGAACCATATTTAATGTGACCTGTATATTGTTTTGTATTATTGAATGCAAAAATACACAAATATGAGAGAACATAAAAAATTACCTTGTAGTGTGTACACCCTATACTATTGCTTTATTGAGCCAGCTTTTGATTTATCTCCAGTCATTTTGGGGAAAGTTTAGTTCTTCTCTTGTAGGACTTTCGTAATATTTGCTCATTTACATCCTTATGCTAAATCAATAGTTTGCAGAGAGGTTAAAAAGGATCAGAACCATCTCATTTTATAATGTTTGAAAAAAAATTGTATTACCAATGATGTGGAAAGCTGAAAATGAATCACAAAGTGGTTCAGCCAATTTTCTGTTTTCCAATGAGCACACATATGTAGCAGAATTTCAAAAGTGTATTATATAGTGTATTATTTATAACTTCAACTAATTCAATTTTTTGTTAAATTGAACATGATAAATGTCACCTTGAAGGTAGAAAACGTTTGGAAGTGATTTATCGTGAGCTAATTGCTTATGTCATGTCATAAAACTTTTAGCATAATTTGATTGTTGAAACTAAATTTTCAACATGAATTATTCATAACCAAGTTAGCTTAAACCAACACCATATTTTCTTCAAATAGCCGTTTTTGTTGAGACGTTCAAATGTTTGCCGTTTGGCATGGAAATGTACAGCTACAAGGTCAAATTTTACATCCATATTATTTGAAAATGGCAATTAGAAGGTTAGATAAGTAGCCTATTGAGATTATGCTGATGTTTCCTTGAGATGAAACCAAAAACGTGAGAACCACTGTTCTCTGCCATATACGTTAAGGTAAAAGCGGAATATAGTTCCAATGCACCTGTTGCTTTAGAAAATGTCCGAATAAATTTGGGTCACACAAAGAGCAAAACTGCAAAAGCATCCAATAATGAAAGGTCAGGAAATCCAAAACCTGCTGCTTGCATTGGGAACAATGCTATTCTCATAACAAAAACAACTAGACACTCATTGTTAGTGCTTTCTTTAGCTTATCATAATATTCTTTGGCTCATTTTGAGAATGTTTAAAAGTTTTTATCAACTACTTACTGTGTATATAAAACTATTCAGTATTTCTTCTACTATTAACGGTTTTTGCAGCAATGTAGCTGCAGCTCAGGTGCACTGTTGCCCCCTACAGGCGAATTGATGAATTGCAAACCTGTCTCCCTGACCTTATATCTATCCACCATTTCATAAGTTTAACCACTTTAGGCCAGTGCTAATTTCCATCCCTTACTGGATTTCCGACTCCTGTGGTAAATGGAGCGCAGCATCAGACCTCAACAATGCCACTGTGGTGGTGGATGGGCGTTGGGGTGCAGCTGGATGTAAAATACACATTCTAACAAACTGTACAGAATACTTTAACCAGACTCAAATGCAGTAGCAGTAGTTGTTCATGTACAGCTTAAAAGGCAACTTTTACAACTAGAGTATTTTATCCAGCAGGGCTTATAATTGCCTATGGTTACGCTCTTGCTCAAGTGACCCTCGTTCCCCAAAATAAAATGAAAAAGCAAAAAAAAAAAAAAAACAGTCATGGAGTCTGGTCACTGCTGTGCAAACTGAAAGTTGAGTGGTGGTCAGGATTGTCTTTATGTTTCTACATCAGTTCAGATGTTACATTGCTGCAAAGATGAAGGAAGAAAAGCAGTTTGTCTTGCTGATAAATGATCCGAGGTCCACACTGACACCCACTCAATATGTCCTCTTGGAGGTCCAGTTGTCCAGGTGTCAGGGTGAGGTCCGGAGCTCAGCACTCGTCCTCGGCTTCTCTGATGGGTGGGATCAAGCTACTGGCGGATTTATTGTGACCGACTGGTTTGACGGCGAGAGTATTCACAGGATTGATCTGTATGGTCCTCAGGTGGGTATTCTCTGGTTCATCTGTAAACCATGTCTTTTCTGAGAACCAAAATCATATAGAGACAAAGAAGGAGGGGGGACATCAGACCATTAATGCTACACACATGTGTTTGGATTTCAGTCAGTGTTTTCACATGCACACAGAGGTGAAGGTGAAAATTGTACATAAAAAAAAAAAAAAAAATCTGCTTAATGTGAGGATCTGGAGGAATTCTAACCTGAGTCCCAGTAATATTACGCAACTCTTCAATAATCCTTTAAACAGCCGGACTCTCTTCTAATCTCCTAAAGTGGTCTTTTCCAAAAACCTTTCAAAGAACTATAAGAATTATTGATCAAAGGTTAAGCTTCAGCTTCTGAAATGTATAGTTGTAAATATTGTCACATTCCTATAATAATGGCCTACATGATTATTTTTCCCTATTTTAAGGAGGTGACAATACGTAGTTTTTCATAATGCTCATCAACTCGTCCTCCAGACTGTTATTAAAATTTGTATTAAAGATACAGCTAAATAAATAAAAATATCAAAGTTGATTTATTTCAGTAATGTAGTTTAAAAAGCGAACCCTATATACTATACAGAATTATGACACAAAAAGCGATATTTGAAGATTTATTTCAGTTAACTTTGATAATTATGGCTCCCTGCTTATGGAAACTCAAAATTCAGTTTCGTAGAAAATTACAACTTACCCAGGACTAATTAAAAAAGAAAATGACTGCATGGTATGCCTGTCTACTGCACAATAAATGCATACATTTTACATCAGTGCTTTGATAAAACACAATGGACTAGCACCAGCAGATGACACAGCTCCCCAGATCATCACCAGACATCACAGGATATTTATTATGCTCTTGAAGCACTGACAGACTTTGTTTGAAATTTCTCTGCAGGGTGGACTTGCACCTGATTCTTGAGCTCCCTTTTCTCATACATCCGTCCTTCCACTAAACTTTCCAGTAATTTGCTGCACAGCTTCTATCCATCAGTTGCCTGCTTGATGACTGTCAGGTCAGTAGTCTTTCCTATGATTGTGTTGGCCATCAAATTTGTCTTAAAAATGTGTTTTGTTTTTTTTATTGGTCTTGATGAATTAAAATTTTCAAAGAAACTTAATTTGTGATGTCATTAGCTTCTAGGCAAGATTATTAAAATGAACAGAAATACACACTTATTCTGAAATATCACTGCGTGTGTAATGAATTTTTACACCATCTGAATTGCAAATTTTTAAATTAACTAGTTCAATAGTTAAGAATAAGAATAGTCAAAAGTTAAGAAATTAACTTTTTGATATTATTTCCAACTTTTACTAGATGGATCCCTTTACTGCCTTTGAACATGCTGCTTTGTTTTCTCTGCAGAAATGCAGCTCTCCCAGTTAATATAGTATATTCAATAACACTTTTTATACGAGATCCTTGAAAAAACTTTGCTTTTGGGGAAACCAGGGTGTATATTGCTGCTTCAATAGAATGAAATAAGGACGTTATGAATCGGATGCAGTGCGTCAAAAATGCTTAACCTCAGAGAAGCCATCGTTGAACCCCAAGAATGTAGCAACTGTTATAGTCCAAGCAAAGTGAAGTCCATAATTCTGTTATGAGAATGATTATTCACATGTGAGAAAAGACATCGTTGAGACCCAACAGATTTCAGTCAGCTTTTCCTTTGTTGGTTAATAACATTAAAAAACAACAAAACACTGAATGAGTATCAATAATTTCACAGGGATGCCAGGATTTTTGTCCATACATATAATATCTCATGGTAGAAGTTGTGAATTGAGGTTGATTTGCAGGTTTAGGATTTGAGTACTTTGAACTCCTTGAGTTGATCAAGAAGCGGTTCATATGCCAAAGTACTATAAAGCCAAATGTGACATCATCATCCATCCAGGACCAAACTGGATTGTGCAAAAGGACAATAATCCCAAGACAACATGAATTGCATAATAAAATACCCCAACTGACAATGTTGAAGGACCTTCATAGATCTGCTTATGAATGAATGTGTGCACACTTCAATGAAATGATGCAAAGTTGATGAAGTCACACAGAAAATGATACACCAATTCTTGTTAGAGGTGCTATTACACCTGTTTTCACATTACCAGTCACGACAGTCTTTGTTTTCACAGGACTGTGTACTTGGATAGTACAAAGTTTGAGAGGCGCGTCAAACTTTTGTTTGAATGCAGCTTTAATTAAATTAATCAAGCCTATTGGCTTTATTGAAGGTTTCTTTTGGTTAACTACACAGGTGCCTTTCAATAAATTAGAACATTGTTGAAAATCTACTTATTCAAGAGTATCAGTTCAAGAAGTAGAACTCATGTACACAAAGAAATATTTCAATATATATATATATATATATATGTTGCTTTATGGCCTAAAATAATCAGAGGGAAGACTTCTGACTTTTTTTTGTCCACCAATCACTTGTCAAATAGTCATTGACAAAAAGGATAAGCAACAAAAGGTTATTGCTAAAGAAGCTCCCTATAATTTGAAAGCTGTATTTCAATTAGAAGTTTAGTGGAAGGAAAGCAATTGTGATAAGAACAGGATAACCAATGATTTTCATTTTAAATCTCTATATAATAAACTTTAAAAATGAGTTTTTATTTCTGAATTATAACACAAACTTTTCTAAGACATTTTAATTTATTAAGTTGCACCTGTATGTTTGGTAGGTCCACAGGCATGCGTTTAAATTAACGTTACTTAGCAGCAAAGTTGTAGCGGTACACTTCATTCACATGTGTGAGCAAATACATGTTTTCAATGATACAACATCAAACATCACGTGATAAAATGCAAATTAGCATCAAACCGTTTGCTTGCAAACACACTGTCTAGAGTCGATTCTAATGTGAGATGTGGTGCATGTGTCATAATAATCATGCACCCCTGATGCATATTTAGAGGGCAAAATGTCAACAAGGACATGACCGTGCTCAGAAAATTAATTATCATGCAGAATTATTTATCTCCATACCTTGGCCAACTCTATTGATCCTTGTTGCTCTTCAGAAAAAGAAAGTAGTACACTATATGCAAGCTAAATGGATTTATTAATAAGAGAAAACTGTGCAGCATGATGATGAGAAGCAAAAAAAAGGCATGTGAATGTATTACATATGAACATAGAACAAGTTAAAAGGAGGTTATAATTTTCTCAACAGAAAATAAACAGCCTATGTTAGACGATTCTGGTTTGCTGTACTAAGCAGCTTTCTGTTTTTCATGAAAGTTGCTAAAGAACGGAATGAAACCAAATGTGGAACAGATGGTAACAATACCAAACATGCCACACACATGTAGAGGCTGAACTTAGACGAGCACAAGAATTATTCAAGGCTATTTTTTTTTTCAAACTGAGAAATATAAAAGACTGCATAATTATTTTAAATTCCGGGTGTTCTTTCAGCTGCAATATGAGAAAAGGAAAGAAAGTTAAAGTACATGATAGTTTACACACAATACCTCCAACATCTCTGCTACTGAATGTCTTAAAGGGAACGTTTTTTTTTTTTAAAAATGATCATATTTAATCGATTAATAGCAAATAAAAGTAGGCTTCTCACCTCATTTCAAAAATATTCAACAGAGCTGAGGTAATTTCAGAAGCTTAACGTTAGCCTGCTATAGCTGTTCCAAACAGTTTGTTGTCGATCTTTGTCCTGCTGCATGTGTAAAATTTTGACTTAGTCGGTCATAAAAAAATCCACAATAAATTAACACTTGTGCACACAATAATTATTTTTTTAAGTTTGACGTTTTTGCCATGTGATCAGCTCACCCTGCAAAAGGAACTGCTCAAACGGATCATAAAAAGCTCTAAATGTATTTGACCTCAGTGCCGATGAGAGTAAACCTCTGACGGGTACAGAACATGTACCGCCCGACCAGTATATGGTGCAGCGTTAAAGTATAAGGACAGACAGGTTTTTTGTTGCTCATTAATGTTTGTCATGTTTCTGTACTGCAGAGAGAAAAATTATGAAGTGAGAAAGATTGAGTTGAAGTTATTCAGACTAGGTTTTTGAAAGTTTCTGGTACCAATTCCACGCTTCATCTGCTAATGTTAAAATTAGGATTTTATGTGATAAAATAACACAAAATATTGTACAATTTTTAAGTGAACTGAAATGATATGTGCTAAAATTATTTACACATTAAAACTATGAAAAATGTGAGATACTGTGTATGTCTTTTATAGGTCAAGTCATTTAGTCAACAGTCTCTAGTGTGATGTAACAATAAATTACTTTAATTTGTGAATATATTTCTTCTTTTCAGCTTCTCTGAACCAAGGCAAAGAGTCAAAATCCCTGTAAGTCTTTGCAATCCCTGTTAATTCTGTTGCACCACCTTGTAGGTAAAAATCATTAAATGCCATTAACAGACTTTGGAGAAAAAGAAAAAGTTAAATAAACATAAACATGTAAAGGCGTTATTAGAATCTGGGCATAACTTTATTATCAACAGTTTCTACTTGCAAAATATTTTGACACAATTAAATACTTCGTAGTTTCAGATATTATTTAATGCAAAATTAACAACTTAATGGAAAAAAAAGGTGTTAGGGAAAAAAGTTATACAATATTTTTAGACAATATATAATTTTTAAGACATGTCATTTAAAGTGCAGTTCAAGTACAATAAGGTTCATCTTAAAATAGAAGTAAAACGAATGCAAGTTTTAAAAAAGACTTGAAAGATATAAGAATTAAGAAAAGTCTATAATGGAAGAATGTGACACTGAAAAACTGCAGGAAAGCTAAGTGGCTAATTATGTGTAAAATTCGCAAACAAAAATGACAATGTGACATACATAAGAAAGTTTTCTTCTGCTTTCAAGGCTTAAATTCCCCAAGTCAGAAAAAAATGAATGAAAAATATTAGATATAAGTGGTTATGTGAGCAGATACAAGCACTGTAATCACAGCAATAGATGACATCTAATGCAAACCAGGTGCAGATTAAATTTGTTTAAGATTGATTATTTTGAAATGCAGGTAGCTTCTGGGTGCTTTTCTGACATCAAGAAAGAATACAATTTATTTGCTCCAGATTGACATTAGGTACAGTAACTTGCCAATCCTCAAATAAAAACAAATTAATCTACCCTTATTTTACAAGATGATTAATGTTTTTCTCATTAAAGCGTACAAAAACTGCAGGAAAACGTGAACCTAATTGATGGGGAGGAAGTCAAAGAAAAACGGCACAAAGAAATAAGGAAATACAAAAACCCTGCTTGTTTCTTACTTTGATTGTGTAACGAGCCTCTCCTGTTCAAGGGGAAAACACACAAAGTACTGCAAACTGAACCAAACAAGAGACGCATACATACACATTCAGACGAACGTACACAAACAATCCAGATGCGGTCTGCAGTCTGTCTGAGACTCGATGAAGGACACACAGGACAACACTGACCGCAGGCACTGGTCACAGACATGGACAGGCAGACAGCTTTAAAGGGGCACATACTTTTGTTTGTCTCGCGAGTCCCTGCTTTTGACTCGGTTGGCGCGGTTGGTAGTTTGGATAGAGTGGACGGAAGAGCTCTTTTTGCTCGAAGAGTGCGAGGAGTGAGAAGAATGGGAAAGGCTGGTCCGCGACTGACCGGCATTGTGGTCAAACTGCATCAGGCAGAATATGAGGTCGGAGGGCACGAGTTCAAATGCATATGGGGGATTGGTGATGACGTACCTGAAGAAGAAATTGACCAGGTGTAAGACAACAACAAACTCAAACTTCAGTGTATTTTCATTGGGTTTTGTCTGACAGACCAGCACAAGTTAACACATAATTATGAGCTTGAGAAAAAAAAATCGCACATGATTTTGGAAATTTCTTACAATTAAACATCTAAAAAAAATAAAAAGTGACATGGTATTGTGCTTACTCTACATTGTCTCTGTTACAGTTACATACTAGTTTATGACTAAATGTACAACACGTGTAGGGGAAAGTTAGTTCTGTACCTCATCATGAAACACAGCGCACCCATGATAAAACAGACGTGAGAGCTACTTTTCACGGATACTTTTTATCCAGTCTGAATAAACTTGAGTTATGTCACAAAGCTAGCAAAGATACACCCAACAAGACCTGGAGCAGTATCTAAAGCGAAAGGTAATTCTACAGATTTACGGAGACTTAATATAAATGAATGCCACAACTTTAAGTATTTTGCATTTGTTAGAAATGTTTAACACTATCCATCAATTGCCTTCTATGTCACAAGTTTTTGCTACTTTGTGTTGAGTCTCATGAAAACCCAATAAACACGTTGAAGTTTGTGGTTGTAAACATGACAATTGTGAAAATGTTGAAGGCTTGTAAATACTTCTACTGAGTGCAACAATATAATGAAGATGAAAGCAAAACATCTTGCTCTCTTTTTCAGTATAAAGGCATCTTAATTCTCACCGTTTGGTACACTGGCTCTGTGTGTTTAGATGAGCATCCCTTAAGCGGTAGATGCCAAAACACAACATGTTGTATGTTTTCAAGGCTTTACAGAATAGGTCCCCATAGCACCCACCATCCTGAAAGACAGCAATAATAACAGAGCAACAAAAAAAGTTAAAAGAGAGAAAACTACCAGAATAATAATTTCAGTTAATTACAATTTTGCTTTCTTCAGATGTTTCTATGTGTTTACCCATAAACACTATTGGATCCAGAGCAATGTTAATCACCACTTATCTGTATAAAGGAAAAATCCTTAGATTGTTTTTTTTTTTCAGTTGCTTCTGGAATAAAGTGAAAAAAAAAATCACGACACTCCATAAATGGAAAAGTACGTCATCCCAACTGGAAGATCTAAAGCTGGGTCATCATTGAATCCTTCAGCATATTAATAAGACTAAACATTCAAACAGTAATGGTTCACCACACACAAAAAATTGACCTCCCATGGAAAATTCAGCCTTTATGACTTAAATCCAGTAGAAAAACTGCGAAGGCTAAAAGAGAAAAGAGTGAATTCTCCAAAGAGTTTTCTCTCTGCATGTTCCGACCTTGTTAAATGTTATATGAGAGTTATGTTCCTATTAGTAGAAGGGGGCTGTGCGTGATATTGACAGCAGCCTTGCAATAGTTGTGGTGTCAATTATGCTGTAAAAAAAAAAAAAAAAGATTAAGATGGGATTTTTTTCTACTGAACAAATAAAATGAAATTAAAAGTTTAATTTTTCAAAATATTTTACAGTGATCCTACCATGCTACAGCAATATAAGATAAATTCATATCAAGGTCTTTTTTAAACATTCAATCTTTACCTCGGTTGACCATTAGTGTGGACGGTGCTATATCATCACAACAAGCTCTTTACTGAAGGTTGAATGCATAATATGAGCAGACAAAGATGGCCTCAACCCCGGAGTGACAGGACCGTTCACTTACCCCGAGGTCAGCAAAGGGCCCGTCGTACAAGGCCAGCTGTGCCACGCGACACCTGTCCCTGTTTGCCAGGGTCTGCGGTGTGCTGTAGCCACCGCGTAATGCATTCTCCTCGGCCAGCAGCCCCTCAAGCTCCGGCGTGGCGCCACCCGTTACCAATGTCCGGATCAAGGTGAGGATATTATCATTGAAGTACGTCTGCGGGAATAAAGACAGAGTAGGGGGGGTAACTCCTTAAGGAAATACAACTCAGGTCTTGACAAGTTGCTAGACAGGTTGACTGTCGGTGTCTAACCCTGTGGAGCACAGCGGTGAGCCGCTGGCATTACAACTTTCATCTGTGCAATCTTTGAGAAAATATAAGAAAATTCCTTGGAAGAAAAAAAACTCTTTATGCTGCGTACTTCAGTTGTTACTCTTCTACTTCCTTCTTATTATTGGTTTGTTGATTTTAACAAGGGAAAATGTCTGCCCTTTTTCTCCACAGTGCAGTCCCTCGTCTCCCCACGCTTCTGCTCTGAAGTGACATCTCCCTTGGCTGCTGACAGCACTATTGACTAAGATGATGGATGAGGGCTGTCCATTAGGTTGCATTACCTTTGTCTACACTGGAGCACACTTGAAGGCAGCTTTGTTCTAACCTCACTCAAACTGAAAGGCAGACAAATGAAGCCATCAAACTCACTAGAAGTTCCAGCCTTGTCACTTATCGTTTTAACTGGGCTGCTGTTTTTTTTTTTAAGGTGAGATGGAGGTACTCTGCTATCTTTCCTCATATGAAAACATAGCGTGTCGTTTTAAATCTGTTATCGTAGCCCAGGGGTTCTCAAACTTCATGTTCAAAAGTCCAATAAGGACCAACTTCTGCAATATTTCAGTTTTACAGACAATTCTGCTTCATAAATTGAGTTCCAAGTTTGCATTTTCCTTACTGACTGCGGTTTTGTGCAAATCTGTACCAAAGAGTCGCCGTTCGAGCCTGAAAACATTTTTCTTTTTTCTTTTTCTTACCGCACTCATTAAGGAGTCCAGTACACTGACTGCAAATGCTGTCCCACAGGCAAAAGGCTGAGTGAGGTATAATTCGGTGTCTGGATCGTCGTCATCGTCTTGGTCCAGAAACTGAACATTCGAGTCATTAACTGTAGGGAGGGGAAAAACATAAACTTCATGAATTATTCAAACTCTCTTTGCTTGCTCGCTTCTCACTACAAACAGATCTCATGGAAAGGTTTTTGACTTGGGAAAAAGCGTGAGTCAAGCAAGTCCTTGATTTGCATGGAAAGGGAGAACACAAAGCAGGCAGAAGCTGCAGATATGGACTGTATTTGGAAAATTCTTCTATGTTAATTTTTTTTTTTTCCAAATATGTCTCTCCATTTAACTAAAATGACTCTGTGTTTGATATTTGTGCTCAGCTATGTGGCCTACTTGCCTCCGCCACACTCCATATCCAGGCGATTCATGCACACTCACGACACCATGCATATTGTCAAAGTTCCGGGCTTCAATTCAAATCCCTCCTTAAGGTCAGTATCAGTACAACCAATATGCCATTGTTTGTCTTGTAAATCCAAGACAGAACTTCCAATTACTTCTACTTGCATGTCAGGTCAAATGAAAGTAACTGGTTGCCCCAGAACCTTCTTTAAAGATGTCTTTGAGCACAAAAAAAAACACATGCAGTGGCTGGAAGAAAGTAATGATGTAAAATTTAGTTGGAGAACTGCTCCTTCTGTGCAGACAGAAATAAATGTCAGTCATATGGACAAAGCTGAGATGAAAGAAGGGAACAGGCCAGAGAATGTGATCTGACAGAAGATGCTACGAAAACAGCCACAAGGACTTCTAAAGGGATCAAAGGCCCTGTAATTCTTGGAAAAAATAAAAGGGAGAAATTTCGCTTTGAGATAAGGGGTGGGGGGGAGAGGGGGGCAAAACAAGACAGGCAATTTCAACCAGAACCAAGGGTAAAATGTGCTCAAAGTGATGCCAAGGGAATGGACTGAGCTTCTTGTGCAGCAAAGAGAAATCAAAAGAAAAAGCTGATATGGAGGCAGCAGCAGTTACAACACTGCAGTACAGGACACAGGCGCTTCTTACCCAGCTCAGTTATCATTTGTATGCTGGTCCCACTGCTTTTATCCTGACTGAATGAAATCACAGGCACTTTTTTGCCTTGCTTTGCTAACGGTGCTGGACAAGTGTTGAGGGAAAAACAGTTACTGTTACAAGTCAACAAGGGGAAAACACACACACACACACACACGCACATGCACAAAAATCCACTTTTTTAGCTATGTTAACCACACATTAGCAGACTGTAACAGCAAAAACTGGTTATTCAGATCCACTACTACTTTAGAGAAATGTGGTTTTGCAGCTATCATATCAACTATTAAATATTCAGCAGCAATCATACCAAGCTCTGTTATGATGGGAATATTTGCTCCAGTAGTAACAGAGGTCTGCCGAACTAATCCGTGGACTGGGCTGTTCTCAGGAGAGGATCGGTCCATCCCTGGCGGCGTGAAGCCTTAATGGACACACACATACGAAAACAACACGTTTCTGTTAATGCAATATTCAGTATTTCCTCATAGTATCCAATGAGACAGCATCAGCCAAAGCTTTTTTTTGTTTTTCACCACTCATCTGCCTTGGGTGACACAAAAAGTGTTCATGTCAACTAAACATTTTTACATTCAGTTGTATTACAATGTATTTAACTGGGATTTGATGCAATAGACCAGCTCAAAGTAGGGCACGTGTAATTGTGATGTGGAAAGAAATGTACACACTGTTGCTCTGTAAATGTGTATTCCACTCTTTATACCTTGATGCACCTAAATAGATTCCAAAGCCACCAACTCCCTTCAAAAGTCACACATATATATATATATATATATATATATATATATATATATATATATATATATATATATATATATATAAAAGAGTAGAACGGTCTTATGCTGCAATTTCAACTTTAAGCTTGCTGCGGTATGCCTCCACTATTTTTCTCATCTTGATGACAGAAATTTTTACACATTCTTGTTCGCAGATCAGTTCATGTTTCGCAACATCAGATTTAAGTCTGGACTTGGACTGGACCTTTCTAAAACACAAACATGCTTTGATCTGTACTATTCCACTGCAGCTTTTGGGTTCATCTGCTGGAGGGCAACCTTCTGCCTCTGACCAGAATCATTGTCCCTGCTGAAAAAGCAATCATCCCCGAACCATTCTGCTGATTTTTCTTCCACACATATGGCCGAAAAGTTCAATTCTAGTCTCATCTGACCAGAGCACCCTCTATTACATGTTTCAATGGGTCGTAATAAGACAAATAGTACAAAAGTTCAAGGGGTATGAATACTTTTGTAAGGCTTATACGCTAAGTGCAGTGTTACTGTATTCATGTAAGCAACCAATATTAGTCCATGTATAATAGATGTGACACACGGCTCATTTTGTTCCCCTTAGACCGGGTGTGCACGGAGGCGGAAACCTCTTACACACATGCAGAAAAAAAACAACAAAAAAAACCATGTAGAACGGAGCCATAAAAGAGAAAATAAACGACGCAAAATTGAATTCAGATTGACTTGACATTTCTTGGTTTCCTCAGACTGACAAGTAAGCACATTAAATCAGTGATGCTGTATGTATAATACATGGGCCATGTTTTGACATCCATCACATACTGCTGACTAAGGCAAATGTGAGGTCATACATGTATTAGACGAATAATGAAATTGTCAGGTATTTTTTTCCTTCTCCTCAGGTCAAAAGGTTTCTAAAAGCATTTCTTCTAATGCTGAGCCAATGACTACATTATGGAAGACCATCTGATTCTAACTGAATGCTCTGGTGGTTCTATTTTAGAAACCTGTAACATGTAATATTAATGGGTTAAGAAAGCATTGTACACAAAGCAGCCCCAGTTGCTGAAAAATAAAGACTGTAAATGTCAAGCAAAGGTTTTCGTGGCAATGATGTGCATGTTGCCACCACTGAGGTTTGTGAGGTAACCGGTTGTTACAGTAACCCGAGGAACAGTCAGTAAGGTTTACTGTCAAACGCAGCGACAACAGGTCAGCCATGCAGCTCGCAGTGAGCAAATATTTTCTGTGCCGGGGCCCTGTCCCTCCCAGGCGAGGCAGTGAACTATGATAGGGCGCTACTTACCTTGCGAATTGGCCTGCAAGACCCCGATGCTGTCGTCAAACTGCATGGATTTGATGTTAAGTGACGCCAGGATGCACTCTTTGTCCTGCAGTGATGCATCATCAATATTGTTCTGATTGGCTGACAGGATGACACACATGTCACAGAGGTTGATGTTGACAGCCCTCAGATCAGCCCTGCTCAACGGTGTGCCCTTTGAGAAGGAGAGATGAAAATATTTGTTACTCAAATAACGTGAAACAAGAGATAGCGTTCTCAAACTTGACATTTTTCTGCTAAAAATATCTCGCACCAAATACTGTTGTGATTGTTAACATGGCAAGCAAATTTTTCATTACTCCAAGTATGTTAATGTGAGGACAACAATCCTGTTTATTTCACGAATGACTGGTTGAAAGGCAGATTTTGAAAATACTTACAGGCAGAATGGATAATTTGGGGAAGTTGTGTAGAGTTTCCCACTCGCGCTTGAGGTATTCCAGGGAACCGACAAACACAATGTGTTTCAGCTCGTGGTAGTGGAAGTTGCTCGCTCTCAGGGGCATGACAAAGTTTCGCAGACCGATCAGCGCTGATTTCACATCTCCAAAGATGCACACGACCACATGTCCACTCAGAACAGTCATAGCTGCTTCGCTGCGGGTCTGAGAGGGAAACGATGTGATGAAAAATGGGTGTTTGTGACAGAAACATGAAACGTGTTACTGCGCCATTCATTTTCACGCAAACTGCTCTGCCTATAGATATGATGTTAAAGTGATGTGAAAAATGGCACATGTGTAAGTGCAGGAAATGTTCTCCGCACAGACCCTGTGCATGGCAAATGACATGTCAAACACCTCATTACAGAGTGTTTGTGTGCCTCGTCAATCTTTGATGCGGCTTTGTGACAATGCACATCTTTCATGAGGGAGAAGAGTGTCGGAACAAATGAACTGTGTTCAAGCGAGGTATCAGGACCCACCAGGATGACCTTCTCGATATCTTTGGACGGGCACCAGTGAAACATCCCCGTGGAGTCGTATTTCTTTATGTTCTCATCCATGGTCTCAATCTGCTCACTGCCTGGGATGAGGAATGGGTCATGTCTAATTGAATCAGAAGGTCAGAGGGACAAAAACGACAGAAGATTATTGAGCCGAGTAGCTTCAGATTCAAGAATTCAAGACTACAAATGTTTTAAATTCAAAAAAATACATCAGTTGGACTCCAAAATAGTATTTTTTTTCCTGCTGTGTGCTCATTGCTGTCAAAGGCCATCTGCAGAAATGTCAACCAAACCGCCCTGTCATCAAGCAAAGTGACATCAGCAGCAGCAGCAATCAGGCGGAAGGAGATGGCAGCAACACACCACCTTGACTGGCATGAGCAAGGAGATGCAATTACGCCCCCTTACTGCGCAGAGCTTGAGATGGGAGTGTGCTGGGTGGTAAAAGCTTTAACAGACCAGATTTTAAATATTTCAGCAATTTGCCCAACCGTATTTGCTTTCCAAAGTGAAGGGTATTAATGTTTAAACAGACCATCAGGGCTGTATAAACAAATTGCACCGAGCACAGGGGTTTAGCTTCAATCTACTTGTCATTGACCGCTAAAGAGGTCTATAAGTATGGGAGCATGTGGTTGGGTTACAATTGTTTTGATCAGGGGACTGAAAGACTTTCCTTGTTATGTCCTTGATTTTTGTGACGTATTACATAAAACATTTGCATAACTGTACATGATCAGCCACCTTTCCACAATTATATACAGTGTTGGCCAAACTTATTGACACCAGCAAATGAATCGTTCTCAATTTCTCTTCGCCCACTTTTTCTAGAGTTATTAATCTTTCTTCAGCACACCTCTTTGCTTTTCTATACAACTCATTTCCACACAATATATCCATAAAAGGTTGATTTGGGAACCATTTCTATTATGTTTTTGCCATCATCTTTCCGTTGAAAGGCCCAGTTATGATCTATTTTAAATTTTCTGGGAGAGGCCAATAGATTTTTATTTAAAATATGTTGGTATTTCAAACAGTTTATGCCATGCACTAAAACATGGCCACAGCATCACAGTTCCTCTGCCATACTCAACACTGTCCATATTGAGCTTTTAGAAATATTTATACATTAAACTCACATGAATGACACAGAAAAACTCTAATGCTAATATTTGTGAGGATAAGAAGTAGTTTTTTCTTGGCATACCCAGACAACCAGAAATATAAATGTAGCTGCCTGATGTTTTAAAATTTTAATTTATTTTTTTTTTTACCACTGTCACGGTATGATGCTAGCCATCTACCATACCATCCATAGAGTAAATATAAATTCAGACTTTTGTGCCTGTAATCTCATCCACACGAACCTTAGTCTCATGTGTTATATATATATTTTTGACAGATTAATGTAAAAAAAAAAAACACCAACTGCTAGATTACACGGATGACTACAGAGCACATGCTATAAATTTACTTTGTCAGATTCAGACCACAGACAAAAAAAACCCAGACAGCAGCCTTCTGTCCCTGTCCAAAACCTTTAAAATACTTTAAGTCATCTCTCCATAAGAGGAGAATGTCTTTAATCCATGTGAGTGCTCTAAAAGAATGCCATCTAAAATAACATGTTACGTATGCATGAAAGTGTCAGCTGAAACTACCATCCCTCAGGCTGCGAGAGACTGAAGCCAAAAAAACTCGCCTTTGGGCTCAAACACCCCCAGGCAAGAGCTGGATGTCCTTTCTAGAGCAGATACAGCTGGGGAAGGAAATGTATTTTCTGTCACTATCTACCACTCAGTCAGCTGGCTTTTAATTTAACAGTAGGCTGCATGTACAATGAATTTATGTGCACAGTACTTGTAGGAAGACCCAACTTTAGTCAAATTTTATGTTATATAGAGCTAGCATACTGCTTGCTAATAATATTTAAAACATTTTTTTAGCATTTGAATAAGCCTTGAGACCGAGTTGAACTTACACTTCCAGCAGGTGCTCTGTGTACACATTTCTAAAAGAATTTCTTTTTGTGAGGGGATGTACTTAGTGTTATGTAATTTTATTTGCCTCAAGATCTCATGGCACCCTAATAGACACATACTTCTCTTTGGCATTTGTAGCTTGTCTTCTTTTATCGCATGATTAAATCATATATTTTACTCAGTTAATAGGTCAAAAGTTGAGTTGTAAAACATTTCAGTACAATGTCATGGAAGTCGCAACATAAATCTGGGGATAGAGCTCACGTCAACACAGTTCTGTTGGAACCAGAGACGATTAAGGAAGGAAGTGTTGGTGAAAGCCACTCTGACGTTATTTATTTATTTTTTTTTAATGTTCAAGTTATTTCAGCAGCTAAAATAAAAAAAAGAAGTTCTACAATTTTTACTTAAATACCTATAACATTTTATTTTGGCAAATTAAATATTTAGTGGTGGATATCCAGCCCTTTAATATGATCAGATCTCAGTTAATTTAATACATAATTTTAAAGTTGATTTTTGTTGAGTATTATTTTACCTCTGCATTTAATATGTAAAACTGAATTTTTCCATCTCCCCACTTTAATATTTAGTGGTAACAGGTAAAAGTAAAATACAAGTGGGCATTAAATATGCACCTACAATGCATAGTGTCAATGAATTTACAGATTTATATGCATTTGATTTGATCCTGTTTAAGACTTGTGACCTCAGAAAGCCAGGTGAAAGAGTTCGCCCATTGGTTGTGTGACCCTCATTTCAAATACCGGCTGCCTTTGGACTGCTGATAATCCTACTTTTCCATCTCTTTTAGTAATTGCCGTGTTTTCTAACCAGCAACTTTACCATTACTCTGGTTTTGTCATGTTGTATATTTATCAGAACTGTTTGCAGTTTTAGTTTTCAACAGAGCTTTAAAGTGTTGGGTTTGTCAGTAACAAAGAACACAAACAGCATCGTTAAAAAAGGGTGAAAAACGGGATAAGCACATGTTGTTTTCTGCTTCTCCAACAGAATTTTGTCTAATCAGCTTGACCTTAAATGCAAGTTCTAAGAGAAGTGAAAGCACTTAGAGGTTTTACACCTTGACTAAATATTTCATCAAAAGTCAAATATTTGAGCACTCACTCAATGGAGCCGCTGTCACTTCAGTTTGTCCTTGCAGAGATGACTGGTGAGGCTGAGCTCTGCCAGGATAGCCATCGCTCACTGTCAGCCATGACGGCCTGTCACTATCCTACACCGCCAATTGCCTCGGCAGTGCAGTGGCAGACATGACGTGTATGTCAAGGCACTTCGATGTGACCAAACACGTTTTGACATGCCACAGTTAGATGTGTCTTATGACCCATCAAGGGGGCTGTGGAAGGGGTGTTAATTTCAGAGAGGTCGTCATTGCGGAGCTCCAGACGGGACGCATTAGCGTGCTGGAAGTGGGAGCGACACAGCCTCACGGACATAAGTGAGGGTTGTTTGTAACCCCACAGTTCTTTTTGTTATTATTATTTTACCCAACGTCACTATAAATCAAAAGGTCAAGTGACTTCTAGAAGACCTTAATGAATCATGAGATGTACAAAGCGGTCACCAACAAAACTGCTTTGCACAAGACTTTGTACCTTTTGAACCTTTCCCACATTGCAACTCAACTGTTTTGCATTTTATTGGGGTTGCATGAGACAGCTAAACACCAAATGGTGTATAATTATGAAGTGCAAAGCAAAAATATGCATGCGTTTCAAACTTTTGTAACAGATTAAAACTATATATCAGAAATGTGTTTGGTGCATATCTGTTCAGCCCCTTCAATCTAACATTACATCCCCACAGTTATACAAATAAGTATCAGGCTGTAGGCATACCTTACTTTCACAAGGACAGGGAAACTTGTCAAAGTTGATGAAAAGACGAATGGATACAGGTCAGTTTAAGAAGAAATCCTGTTAAAGGCTGCAAAATACTGAGCTGAGCTTACATTACACTCCCAACAGGAAAACAAACGTAAAGCCAGAATTACAATGGAATGTTTTGTTTTTATCAAAGAGGACAATCATCTTTTAATCCATACTTGAATATAATTAGGAATCTCTGGCAAGATTTAAGAACTGATGTTTACAGATGCTCTCCATCCAGTCTTGAGTTTTAAGCCAAGACAATGTAAAAAAAAAAAAAAAAAAAAGTTAGTCTAGTGTACAATGCTGGTGGAGACATTGGTTGTAATAGGACATAAATGTGATGATATATACATAATTTTGCATGAAACTGCATCCACATCCTTTATGTTTTTGTCTTATTGAAACTTACACAAGCACTGAGGGCTGGAAACGTCTTTGAAAACCCTCCTGTCATGTAAACTGACAAAGGGATGCTCTTCAAAAACCCTCAGCCAATCTGTTGATCATTACTTATTTACAAAGGCCTTGAGGCCTCAGGTCCTATAAAAACACATTTGATACAGCATACACCCAGATGTTTTTTTTTTTTCCTTTGCTTGTTGCAATGAAGTATCCCTTAGGCAACCGCAGTAAATCCCTCTCCAGCGTGTAGACAGCAGGCGCTGAATGGAATAACACAACCACCTGAATTGCTGTGGATTAGTGTGGCGAGTAGATGGATCGGTTTGGTGGGTTCGTATTTGGCTGATGGCTACAGTGCTGGAAAAGCTCGGGTTTTTGTAACCCAAGAGTCCGGAAAACCCCTGTAGCAATTCAACATGAATGCTTTGAAGCAAATCAAATGGGGGGCAGACACCCCAAAACCCAAGGCCTCCGATCAAAGGAAACGCTAACTAACCAATGCATGTAAATACTTTTATTCATAAGACATCAAAGTCACTTGTCTAACCTTTGCTTGCTGCCTACCTGCACCTTATCTTGCAATGTTCAATAATATAGGCAAGTGGGTTTGGTTTAAAAATGTCAAACAAATAGCGGTCCCCATATTAGCCAACGCTAAAATAGAGTCATCTGTCAGTTTTAATGAAATTACATCTGTTCCACTGTATATACATCAGGCTGCAGGTCCTCCCTGCTGCATGGCTTTCTCATCACATGGCACTTAATGACAATGAGTGCTACTATTATCATTCTGGTAATGGTCTCTTGTTGAATAACAGCGTTATCTTAAGTCAGGATCAATAAGCGCTGATTTAATTTCATGAGACAAGATAAAAGCAAGGTAACATTTGAATTCGCCTTTCATTGCGATGATACATATCATCTGTGGCCTAACGTGCTGAAAAGACCTCGGAGGGATCCGACAATAGATGAATAGCCTTGGGCTATCCATCCTTTAGAGCTTCTCTCCCTGCTAGGTGCTGTCATTAGTGCCAGACCTGTTTAAGAGCTGGAGTCTCTAGTTGTCACATGAAACCATGTGGCATTTGCAAGTCTGACATGTTTTTTGACGAAAAAAAATGGGTTCAGGGAGTGGGCTGGGGGTTACAGAACATGCTCTTCAAGATGTTCTTCATGAGATATCGGTGTCGTACCTTGTTATCTTGGGCGAGGAGTTTGGAGAATTTCTCATGCCTCCGTTGCGCTGCTTCTTTTTGGGTGACAGAGCTGTCTGTTGGTCCTCTTCAACTGAAACAAAATGTAAAGGTATGAGGAGGGCGGCGTTGTCACACATCAAGTAAAAGTCACAGAGGACACAGCACAGAGCGAGGTCGATGAGTTTAAAGGGACGGTACACAAACAGGCTGGAATGTTACTGGGCGGAAATAGAAGACAGTTAATGCAGATAGAAAATAATGGTAGATGGTTTTTTTATGGATTTATTTACAAATACAAACATGCAAGAGCGCCACCATGAACCTTCATGCAGATTACCAAAGTCCAGTTTGTAGCCAGAGAACTCCTGTAATCTAGATTAAAAAAAATCTAACAATAACGATACAGTAAGGGTTAATGAGATCTTCTCATGATATTGAAATTTCTCAATATGTATTATCAAAGTAAGGTATTTTTCCAACTGCTGCCAGTATGTGACTATGTGTGTTAAAGAAAGTTTACTGTCACAATGCGGGCCCTGCAAATGAAGATGAGTACATTAAGCTTAATATATTGATGTAGCTACATTTTAAAGGAAGTAGACCTTTAGCTGCCCTGTTGTGTGATGGAGCCGTTGGGCTAGCCATAATTTGCTTTTGCTACTTTTGATTAGTTTTTTTTTTTTTTTGGGAGCATTTTGGATACTTGGTAGAAACGGGAAGTGAGAGAATAATAGACAAGATGAAAAAAATATATATTTTTAAGCACTGTGAGAATACAACAACTTGGTAACTGTTAGCTGCTAATGATGCTAGTAAAGCTACCTGACTCATGTTTTCTGCTGTGCTGAATGAAAGCTGATTGAAATTTTATTTTTCTTTAATGAATTTTTATTTTTTCTTTAATGAATCTAGACTACTCGCACACACACACGTATACATATTAGATTTTTGCGATAAGTATCAGGCAAGAAGTTTCCTCTTTTGTTTAATTTAGATTTTTTTCAGAAAATTATTTCTTGAACCAAGCTTTATTTGATTAAAAAGGCTACACTCTTTTACCTCGTAGGCAGAAAGTGGCTTTGTAATGTATTGCTTGCATTCTGATTTTAGTCATTCATTTAAAATCTTCTAATATTAAGCCTCCTGCAGTACAACAATTTCTAGTGTTCCTTCATCTTGGGAGTGGCGGCCCCCGTGCCAGGGTGATTTATGCACAGCGGAGATGCCCCTCGGACATTGTCTTCATCACTCCACCAAACCGCGCTGAGCTCTTCATCGGGACTGAAGGATAAGTTTTTCCCATGGGTCAAGCAATCAGGCAAATATTTTCACAAGGTAATATCACAGCTCAGGAGGGAACAAGTCAGCAGGAAAATAAACAGGAGGAGCCAAGAGAAGCAGTTTTACTGATGGAGCTTTAACAGCCACCATTCTGGGGGAATGGCTTGTTACAGTGTGTTAAGGCTGTTAAAGACACGCTTGAGTATCTTTTCAGCGACGATTCAAGCTGCGAATATTTTTTTTTTCCTCCATCTGCTTTTTTCTTTAAAAACATATGAAGAAATTGCAAGTGCTTGCATTAAAATTAATAAAGTCATAGACGACACTCCTCTGCAGATGAACTCAGGGTTTCCAGCGCTGATCGCATGTCTAAGACTGACATCATAATGGAACAAGTGCAAGTACACGGGGCCGCCAGTGGAGAGCGACGCTCCGACACTCGGGGGCCCTTCACATCTTTGCTCGGCCTGTTTAATATTTAATGTTTTGCAGCTGACAGCTGCTCAGGCTGGGTCATTAGTAAAGAATGCTACACATGCAGCCACTCCAGCCTGGCAAGCACATGCTTTGGTTGTGCTGTTGTTGAACACAGGCCTGCCTAACACAGCAAGAGTAGAAGAGAGGTGGGGTAGTTGGCTCTTACACTGCCGCCGACCGAGTGTGGTGACACATGGGTGACCGGGATGGTATCTGTACTTCACCGGCAGGCTTCGCGCCCGCTGAAGTTGACGAGTCTCCTCTGCCACCCCTGGCAGCCGGCCGACCCTGGCCAGGTCTCTGGAGCCCACGAGGCTCAGTTTCAGGGCGGAGGGCTTGCTGAGGGGCAGTAGGCTTCCCTTGCGGTTGTTTACCAAGGGAACGGGGACAGCAACAACTCTGTGAGGGCCCCTAGAGACCACGTTGGCTGAGACATGGTTCAGTTTGGCTGATTTGGACTGAAAAGGCGGCGCTCGGATTACAGGGCTGCTGTTTACTGCTAAATGAAGAGGAGTCAAAATCAATAGCTGCATGATGGATTTTTTTTTTAAGTCAGCTCAAACAATCTAAAAAGCCGCATAATATTCTGTTAGAAATGGATAAATGAATAAAAAAACGTTAATCATTGGCACTACTTTTTTTCTCAGTAGATTCATGTTTTAGTTTGTCCAGTAAAACATTTAGTGCCTTCCAAAAGTGTCAATAGCACTTTTTAAAATTTTGACAAGTTTCATAAACTTGTACAAATACAATTTTTCATTATTTTTAAGCGACGGACTAAAAGTATGGTTTTGGTAATTATGAAGTGAAAGAAAAAAATATATATAAAAAACGTTTTGTTAAAAAAAAAAAAAGCTTGGTGTGCATTTGTACATCTACATTATTCTAATGCCCATCAATACAATAAAGAGCAACCTACTTTAAGTACTCACTTAACAACAAACGTGAAAGAAGATGCTTTGGTCCGATGAGATTAAAACTGAACTTTTTGGCCCTTGTGCAAAATACTACACCTAGCGAAGAGCTAACACTGTTTCATTACCCTGAATGCACCGTTCATTACCCTGAACGCACCGTTCATTACCCTGAACGCACCGTTCATTACCCTTAACGCACCGTCCCCACAGTGAAACGTGGTTTCTGCACCATGTTCCAAGGCTGCTGTTCGTTAGCTGAGACAGAAGAAAACATGGGCAATACTTACAGATTCGTGTTTACAAATGGACTTAATCCAATCTGTGTTTGGGCTTTGTTGCAAAGAAGAAAGTACAAAAATGTTGACCTCTAGATCTTATACAGAGACTTGCAGGTATAATTTAGTATACCAAATGTAGTTCTACAAAGTATTTATACAGGGTGCTGAATAAAAATACACATTGCTCTGTTTATATTGCTAAAATACACATGTAGCCTTTTCCTTTCACTTCACACTCTACTTTGTGTAAATTTATTATATTAAATCCAGATTAAAGAGTAAATCAAAATTTGTGGTTTTAACGTAACAAAATATGAAAACGTTTGAGGGCTATATAAACACTCTTGCAAGGCGCTGTAAGGTAGGACTTCATTTAAAGTAACTTCAATGCGACCTTTATGTGTGTGTGTGTGTGTGTGTGTGTGTGTGTGTTAATGAAACAAGTTAATAATTAAAGTACAATCACTAGTTTGGGTGGGTAACTCTTTCTGGCACAAGAATGCTAATATCTGAATAATTGAACAAAGCCTCATTTTTATTTAACGCCACTTAACCAGCTCGTATTCACCTCAGATGCAATGTTCCTTTTGACATTTTACTTTGATATTTATTATACACATAAATTAATAAACCTGCTTTCAGGTGCTTTAGCGATTGTTGTGCCACAAGAAGAAGGAGGTGACACCGTGAATTACAGCAGCCACGGCTGCTGTGTGCAGCTCATGGCTGACGGGTGACGGGGAGTGGAATTCAGGCTAAGGCAGTGATAATAAAAGGAGGTAAAAACTAGTGACGATAAAAGAGAGAGAAGAGGAATGCTTATTTAAGTTAAGGGGGGGGGGGGGGAAGGTCTGGAAGCTAAAACCGGAGAAGAGAGATGATTATTCTAACAGTCAGCTGTCTAGCAGATTATCCTCCCTGTTTCAGACCTCCACTATATATCTGCCTCACGTCAAACATGAGCAGCACTTCTTCAGGACAACACAATGTGGCAGATTTGCTGCACAGATCCTTTCGAAGTGAAGTGGATGACACTTGCCTGATGGCTAAATGAAAAATGCCAAAATATTATATCAATTCTTACTTTTACTTTTATATATTTATGCATTATTTATTCCCAGGAAGAAAAAAAACCCTGCCATTTTGATGTTTACTCAAAATCTGTTTGTTACATTTTGAATTGATCAGTGATTTAATGTATTCACACATAGAGTGAGGCAGCAGCACCCCCTAGTGGCGACACCCCAGCGTAAAGAAAACATTTTCCTCCGGCTTTGAATGCAAAATACAGTAATGGATGATGACAGAGGAGACGGTTGAAATACAGCAGGTTAGAGACAGATCAGGTGGTGACAGTTGAGAATGCGCATGTGGAAGTGTTAGAGAGAGACGTCAGGAGGAGGAAATCAGCACTTACTTGATTTGATATATCCATTATAGCTATTTTTAGCTGAGGAAAATACAGAGATGAATGAGAGGTTACAGGGGAAAACAGACGGCAATGAAAGGCAAATTAAAAATGAAAACAGTGGATTGAAGGTTGAGGAGTTTGTCTTTTTAAGGCACTGAAAAGAAATCCAGAAACGAACCCTGAAGACAACAGGAATTAGAGAGTAGAAATAAAAAAAGAAGACATTTATGTTGAATAACTTTTTGGGTTTTTTTTTTAAAAAATGAATAAATTTTGATGTCAAAGCTGAGATGCTACAATGATTTTATACAGTAATTAATCAGACAATTAGTTTGTTAATTGACTGTGAAAATTAGTAAGCAAAATAAATATATAAATCACAATACAATTAGTTTTCTTCCTGAGACTAAAAATTTTTTTTTTTAAATTGCTGGTAATTAACCCCCAGAGTCCAGGTGGCGCGTACAAATCACTTCCTAAAACCTTTGACTAGCATTTCAGCTTTCTCAGCATCTTTCTGAGAAGTCTGAGAAAGCCTTTGTAGGTCAGATTGGCTGTTACAGGCCAGTAAAAGCACCACTCTGAAAGTTTATTTTGGGTATTTGTTTACACGTATCTGCTCAGTGGTTCGTATGGGCGAATCCTCCAACCACGGCCCACACCTCCAGGATCTCTTCTGCCGTGAATTTGCTCATAATCTCCTCAAACCTGTGGTTATCCCTGCTGCTAGTGTATCTTTACAAAAGTCAAATAAATGCAGAAAAACTAAGGCACATATATGTCAGACGTTTAAGCAATATAAAGTTAGTATATATTTTTAAGAGGTTTCTGTTCCAGCATTATTCATTATAGTCGTAAATTAAAATGCCATCTTCTTCAGCTCTTACAACTTCAAGAAGGTTAGCATTTGATTTTGAGTTTTGCGTTACCAAAATAAATAATCAAATTGTTCCTTAAATCACTTTCTCACTCCTCAGATGTGCCCATGAGAACCAGCAATGAATGTGCAGAAGTTTGAGCGAGTCACTTTTTTGTGTGCACGAAATCCCACACTTGCTCATTAGTGACTTATTTCGACCCCTTGCTCACAATAAAGGTCATGCGTTGAGCTTAAGGCACGATGGTGACAGCGATGTTCAAACAGGGACCTTGCTGGTCCTGGCATCTGTCGCCTGCAATTGCAGGGCGCGAGCAGAGTCACAGGACTAACAGGCTAGCATCTGTCCCACAACCAGAGCAAAGCAGAGGAGGGCGGGGGCATCTTGGTTTGCCTGGTGGTTACGAACTGTCAGGCTGAGTTTCATGATAACCGGTAGCATTCCAAAAATGAAAATGCAAACATAATTTCCACGTCAGGCCGCATAAGGCCTTGCTCTGTGTGTCTTGCGCGCTGTGTCGACAGCGGATGTGCAGCCACGCCGGGGCAACGTTCGCCAGGCGAATCTCACAGCAAACAGCCCTAGAAGACACGCCGAGGGGCGGGAATGCCCAAAGAAGCTTAGCTCCGCTCAGAATGCTCTTTGATCTGGAGATATTTACTGAAATTGCATGGCAGTCTAAAATGTTTTCCAGCAAACTGCTCTGAAACCTCAGACACATTCTGCAAGACTGCTGCCACGCAGCAGAACAGCCTTTAAAAGGGGGAGTCACACCTGAATTAAAAATTCCCGTTCATCTCAAATCAATTCTTTTACATTCAATACGATCCAGCACTCTGTTATTCCACATAAGATCCAGCTCTGTTCCAATCCTCTTACTGCAGACTTCACTCAGGGTTAGGAAACTAAAAGCTAGAAAGCACATCCAGCAAGCGCAGCACTGGTTTATCTGCTCAACATGTTGCTGATTTTACCCTCAGAGCTTTTCATCCTAATTTAATAAAGCCACTACGTTAACCTCAATATGTGCTGAAGTCTCCTAAAAGAAATTCCCCTCAGGTGTTGTCAAGATCACTTTTAAATTCTCGCCGTCATCTACTTATAATAATATCCAATCCTGCATTTCTCATTTCTGCAGGGTTGATTAGTGATGTATTTGGATTAAATATGTTTTACTTTACTCTCTTCAAAATAATCTCCAAACATCATGCTGAAAACTGCATTAAAATCCTCCAAAAGTGACTTTGTGTTGGTGTGTGAGTGTGTCTGAGAAAACTTAATGTTTGGTTATCTGTTTATTTAATTTATGCAAGGGCAATTTTTGATTGACAATTTCTAAACAAAATACCTGCATGCCTCACACAACAGAGAGAAATAGCTTCCAAACGAGACAATGCAAAGGGAAAGACAAGCACCAGCTGACCCAACAGTCAAAAGGCTAAAGCAAACATCTGCAGTTCTGGTCAGGAGTTTAAAAACACTCTTAACAGGCATAAAAGTCATTTATTTGAGCTTTTAATCATTTTTCTGAATTGTTCATTTTTTCAGCTTGAGATGTTCATACAAAAGCTACTAAAGTGTTCTTTGAAAACAAAATAATGGGTGCAGACATCCGTTTATAATGCAGACCCACACATATTATTGGTCTGTTTTTTTTTGACCAATCATCTTGCCAGAATTGGTAGAGTTCACGTACATTGGTTCCAAAACCAGGTTTTGATACTTGTCAAAAAATCCTGTCAGATTCAAGTTTAACCCTTCTGATTCCACTAGTTTCAAAGGATTTAGATTTTCACACACTAGGGAGGTACCAATAAAGAAAGTTCACTCTGACATATGTCAAGAGATTCCAGGGAGTTGATATAATTTGTTAAAAAAACAAAAAACATTTAAGGCTCTTTTATGATTTGAGCAAATCTCCCTGGATAAAACACCAGGCCAGCAAATTCAAAGGGTAGTCATCCTTATTGGTTAAATAACCAATTTAAACGTGTGCATCTAAGTCTGGTTGTTAAAACACACTGAAGTTGTGCATTGTAAACTTATTCCATGCTGAAAAAAAAAAAGAGCAATTCTAGCAAACTATCAAAAGTCCAAATTACTATGACGCGAGAAGGGTAAGTATACTTCTGACCTGAACTATATGTTCTGGAAAGTGAGGACACGGCAGCTAAAGCCAGAAAGAACAGAAGCCGCAGACACACTGCAAAGTCAACACAGAGCACAAGTGAAGAGCACACGTCACGGCGACAACTTACAGGCACGTAAAGTGGCCGAGCAATCATTAACAGAGAGAGCAGAGAGTGGGATGTCCCGATGAGGGGAGTCCAAGTTACAACGCACTATAACCGGCATGCAAGAGCGCTCCCACTTTGAGCGCCTGCGATCAAAGCAACATGCCAGTCTCATTCTCTTGAAGGCGGGTGTCTTGGCTACAGTCATGGGTTCAGACGAGAGGAGAGGAAGAGCAGGTTAATGTGGAGGGTCGCTCTGGGGGAGAAGAGGGCAAAGGCAGGTAGGCTGCAGAACAGAGCCTTTGCAAGAATGAGCATGTTCAGCTTTGTTGTGACAAATTACAAACTTTAGATCTTATTTGGATTTAGGTTTTTTTTGTGTGTTTTTTTTCCCCCTTCCAAATTTTTTACTTTGTGGAACAATATATTTCCTGCCTTTACCCCTTCGCCCTCATCTAATCGTGACCCCAACAAGCTTATGCTCACTACTTTCTAAGACACTGCATATCTCAGCAAATGCTCATAATCTTGCACTATGCTATGAGTTAAATCCAAAGACAGCACAGACTTCTAAAGAAAAAAAAAAGTAAGTCAAATGTACTATTTTCACAAAAACAAAGATAAATCTTATATCACATACAGAAAACCAGAGACATTCTAACAGTTGTACAAAACAGTGCAGGGTCACAAATTACTTTGACATGACTGCAATAAGATGTGCAGTTATTATTTCACTGGCCAGTGGTGACACCTTGTGGTGAGGTTGAGAATTACTGACTAAACTCTGCAGAATTCCCATAATTAATTTACTGTTCCTCGTATATGTAAAATTAAATAAAAATTAGATATTGTTAAATTAAATGTGTTAATAATATTTGTCATTTATGTAATTGTCAGTCTAAATGCAACACATGACAATGACTGGGGTCCAGGCAGCAAACATCCACCGTTTCATGCAGCATTCACTGTGCATTCAAACAGGTCGCTTCAGTCTGGGATGCAAATAGCAGGCTGTGTTTTTGTAGCAGAAACAAACCAACATTACTCACAATATATCACTAGAAAGTGATTTTTTTTTTAAATGTTCCCAAGCAGCAAAAAAAAAAAAGAATATATGAAATGCGAAAGTTATGTGTTGGTTTTTAATGAAATAAGGAAAACAATTTGAAGATGAGTTAACAACAACATGATTTGTTGTTTTTTTTAATCGTCTACTATAGCAAGATCCATCCGGGTATCTGTGGTGTTAACAGTCTGTCTGAATGCCTGCTAACATGACAGCATGTTAAAGTTAGTTAACAGAACAAACATCGAGATCAAAAACTCGAACATGAAACGCATTTAAAAGGAATTCAAAAGACTAAGATTCAGATGAAAAGCCTGAAAGATTGTATTTGCTGTTAAACTGGGGTTGACCTGAGAAATCAAACTGTAAAAGTTAGCAGTAAGGCACTTCGGTCAATATTAGCTGTTTTTAAAAGTCTTGTACAAATAAATTTGACTTTCTTAAAAGTGATAAATTATGTATGTGCATGTCTTCAGATCTTTGGAGAGAAGGGCCTGATAAGGGTATAATGATGAGGTTTTATAAGATTGTAGCTGGAGAAGAAAAGCACCTAGTGAAGCAACTGTAGTTTTTAAAATCAAATATCTCTCTCCATCTTAAACTGTGCATACATGTTTAAAAGTCAAATTACCGGACACTGTTTTATTGTACGATAACTTACATTTCTTGCATCCACATTTCTTTATTCTTTTGGGATCTGTTATGTCATCGTGACAAGCCTTGCAGTAAAACAGCGCCCTGCAGAATAAAGAGAGAAAGAATTCACTAAATGCTGGTGCTGCTTAAAGTTACTACTGAAAAAAAAAGTTTAAAGACGGCTGTGAAATTGGCCCAACATGAAATGCAGAAAATCTTTGAATTACATTTGAAACGAAGGAGTCAGTGCAGTTTATCGGGGGGCGCCACACTAATGAACTGCACGTTACATTTTGATGTGTGAACACTGTTTATGTAGTTGGACCTTGATGAGTCATGATTCTGTGTGCTCAGTTAAGAAAAGGACTGACATGTTTAATCTCCAACTAATTACCTTTTTACTTCTTTGGCATCACTTGCGATGAAGAAGCCCAGGGTTCCCTCCTGCATTTTCACATGGTTTCCAGGGTTGATCAAAGTGCTGGGAAGAAAAGGGGAAATGTTATTTAGGGGTTTGTATAGCTGATTTAAAGTAGCTTCACAGCGTCGACCAAACTCTGCATTATTTAATGCACCCAAACAGCTCAGACAATCCATTTACCTGCTTTCCCTTTGATCAGATTTGTGCTCTATAGCTATCAAGAGTAACTTCAGCTTCACGTAGCAGAGTCTGCAAAGCATAATACCAAAATTAGATAAGAATTGGAATAGTTCACCGACAATCATACTCTTCATGAAAACCAGAGCCAGAATTAAAATATATATTTCTCATCTTTTCATCTTAAGGGTAAAACATTTTCAATATGTCATAGAAAATATACAATATTTTTGATGAAAAGGCCTGCAATTGTAAATACAAAAGTGTAAATTTTGCATATAAGGAGGAAATAAAACGTTAGAAAAGAATGCTAATATTTTACTGCTTACTCGCAGATGACTGGGAAGGACAACCCAACAAAGGCACTTGACAGGTACTCTGTGTACATCTCATTGGATACTCCTTCAAGGTAGTACTTCTGCCATGTGTCCTCCTCAATCTGCAATAAAGAGAAGATTTTCTAACAAAACATGAAAGTGGTTCATTTATTAAAGCCGTTTTCACATTTTGCCACGTTGCAACCACAAACTTCAACGTATTTTAAAAGGGTTGTATGTGATAGACCGACACAAAGTGGTGCATATTTGTAAAGTGAAAGGAAACGAATACGTGGTTTTCATTTGTATAATTTTTTGAAAAGTGTGCCATGATTTATGTTCTCAGCTTCCTTGAACCGCAAGTCTTTTGGGGGATTTCTCTACCAATTGGGCCCATCCAGAGACTTTTAATTGCAAAATATGCACCTATTACTCCTAATCACTTATTTTTGATGCCACAGACAGATGAATCCTAGCTGCGGGTACCTTGATAAAGGACCTCATGGAGAAAAGGTTGGCCAGCATGGTGGAGAGTCCTTGAGCTAGGCAGCTCTGGGCAATGAACCCGAGTTTCAGCTCAGCAAGGCAAATGGCGTCATCCCCCTCCTTCCAGTTCCAGCTTGGGATGTTCAGAAGGTGAGCCTGTGGGAAAGGAATAAAATGCTACTCACTGCACATTTTTAGGAAGATTAAAAAAGTGATTAATCTCAACACAAAACGCCTTAAATTATTTGCAAACAGCAGAAACGTGTCCACAGTAAGGTGAATACGAACCTTATTGTGGTACTGCAGCATCTGCGTTATTATTCTGATCTTCGGATGGTAGTTTTTGATAGATATTACCCTAACAATAGACAAAAAAAGAGCTTGAATCTTGTATTATTTACAAAAAGTGGGTGAAGGACAGAAAAATGCACATCTTAAAATCCGATTTAGAAGCTGAGTGAAAACGTGGACTAGTTTTAGAAACCTCATGATGTTGGATGCATCTTCGGCGTCTGGGTCAGCACAGTATTTGTTCGCCAAGATCAGGCAGGCATCAGCTGATTCAATCTAAAAATTGCACCAAGCAAACGTACATTTTCCCATAACGCATATCATAATCCGACATGCACACACAGAAGAAGGATTATATGTTACCTTCACTCTGGCTAGGTCATGTGGGTTCAGGACAGACCCCTGGTAAAACTCTACTTGGGTAAAATGACGCTTGAACAAGGCTTCCAGCTCAAGATTAGGGGAAATACTGAGAAAGAGGGGGGGGAAAAAATACTCATAATAAATCAGAAAATTTAAGAAGAAGCATTTCTGATGTAAATTTAAATTTGTTTTCACTTGCAATCCACAACAGTTCAAAGATTTGCACTTACTTATGGAGAAAAACAATTTCTACATTGACATCATCCCTGTCCTTGTGTAGGAAGTCTTTTAGGAAGTTGGACACACTCTCGAGCGTTATGTGACCACAGACCACGATGTGCCTGGAAAACGAGGGGCAGAGCGACAATAAAACTAAAAGGCAGCAAAAGACAAAAACAGAGGAAAAAAAAATATATCTTTG